AAAAATTACAGTAATGTCTCTACATTAATAAGCTAATAAGTAACTGCAAGACTGGAGCGAGACTCTTGCGCAAGACCAAGCCCATGACCAAGAATGAGGTTGCAAGACCAAGACTTGTCTCGGTCTCGCATTTGGGCAATACTAGTCAACTCCATGGTAAATAATGAATTATCCGAACAAAAAAATCCCTCGAATCTTTTCTAGAACATAACTTACATTAGTTATTTAATATATAGCAATGGTTTTAGAAGTATCTGAACATTATAATTTCATACTAACTAAATTTGACTGGTTTTCAATATTAACCTCCTCCAAATATCACGCTACACTGGGAAGATATGTTAATCATACTAATAAAAAAAAAGTTTTATAAAACAAGAATAAATAACATTGGAGACCCCCAACGAGTTTAGAAGTCATTAAAAGCCAGTTACTCACAATGTCTAGGTTAATCTGACTTTTAGATTAAGCAGGGATTCGCTCTTTATAATTTATTTAATTCGTTTCCCTCCAGCGTTTCAACTCTAATCTTTTCGTTATATATATTCGTTATATAGCGATATAGTTGAAAAATGTTCTGTTCGTTTTGATTGTTTTAAGTAATGAAATTAATCAATATTGAACGAGTATAGTGTATCTATTTATAACATACGTTTTGAGTGCTTTATTGATAATGGAATACAATATTTTGTGAATCCTGTCTCAAAAAAACAAAAGACGGTCAACACGTAACAAGCTATAAGAAAGAGGTAAAAAATAAACACAAGGAAGATTAAGAAGTGATAATGATACCAGTACTTCGGATGTCCGCTAATAGGAGTTTTAGGAAATTGTTTTACTATTCCTAAATCATGATTTTACATTCAGTCATGAACTTAACAGAATAAAAGTATAATAGGTTCAGAGCGAATGATATATGGATAGATTGATGAAAAATTAACATAGTACATTTTTGATATGGCTAAACCATTAAATACAATTTAGTAAATTTCGATCTTATTTATGAAATTTACTGCAACATATTACCAATAAGAGTTATTTTATCGAAATGATACAAATCTTTTTATTCATCGAAAATTATTTACAAAAAAATCAGTGCATGAAGATCCGATTTCACAGAGAGAAAATGTATCCAAGTACTTAGTGATTCAATAATATAGTGTAATTGTATTTTCGCTGTAAACCGATGACGTGTTAAGTAGAGCAAGTGTGCCTCCATCTTTTTTTGCGCAGTTTTCAAAAAAGCTTAATCTGGTATAATTCAATTAAATGCAATGATAGTATAATAACAGTTCAATTATATTATATGGAGAAAGACAATTAAAAATTAAAATTTATAAAATAAAATTTATTATACTTTCGAATAAATAAAAATACCAACAGAGAAATATAAGAACATACAGTAGCCTCCTTAATTTAAATTAAATAATAAGCCATAGGAGGGGAATCTTCTTGTTGATAGAGGGCGCAGTAAGGTTAGGCAGTGTTAATGGAGGTCGTAACAATTCCTTATATTTTATTGTATATATGCATATATTCAATACCTTATACATATATTCAACTTAATTTTATGAATGTTCACATTTGTTTAACTGACATAATTAAATATTAATTAATTCTAGCTCTGTATTAATAAATATCGCGCTAAAACGTTTGGAGGCCGCAGATTCCCCACCTATGGTATGTGTGATAACTCAAAAATCAACTATTTTTTTTTCTATATATATAGTATGTACGCATTAGTAGACACCGATAACTTGTAAAAAAATTGCGGATTTAAACATGAAGATGTCTCGTAGTTCAACAAATCATTCTGAACATTTGGAATAATCATTACTATTAAAAATAATAGTTAAATAAAAGGAGTTGGTTGAGAGATCTCCGTCCTTAAATCACCTAAGTAATTGAAACAGGTCAGAGTAGAGGTGCCACTGAATAATGTCCTTCCCCATGATTATTAATTCATATATTTTCAGCACATTCGATAATTGTAAATAAAAAATTGACAGATGCTAATCCATTTTCATAGCCAAAATAATAGTTTCTAATTTCTAAAACCTAATTTTAGCAGTGAACAAAACTACACGTTATTTATTCAAGTTTTCTTTTTTAGGTAACATCAATACCGCCCAGCCTATTTTTTTAATAGGGTACATTAGTATTAATGATTCCAACTTTGCATACGTTTTCAGTAAAATCGAATCGAAATTCTTGGCGACAGAAAATTGTGGAAGCTACAGAAAATTCAACTGTATTACATAGAGAATACAATAAGTAAATGAGAAATTTGTAACATGGCATGTACAACATGAAGAGAAACTACCCATTGGTAGAACTCAAATTAAAGTTCTATATTAGAAGATCCCGAGGCCATCTTCTTTTCAGACGCCTCGGAGGGTTATCAGGGATCGAGGAGGAAGCAAGGTTTGAAACGAGAGGATTCGGATGATTCTGCAGTTTGTTATGGAAGGAAAGGTATCTGGATTGGGCCAGATCGGAAACATATGGAACATTAAGGTCTTTATGGATGATTTTATTTGTGACAAAGTAAGGAGCGTTGAGGATTTTACGAAGGATTTTGGATTGTAAGGATTGGATACGAGAGGAATTCGATGGTTTAGTGGAGCCCCAAAGCTCAATTCCGTAAGTCCAAATAGGTCTTATTATTGTCATATATACGAGTCGTTTATAATTGATTGAAAGCTTAGATCGTTTGTCTAGTAAGTGCTGCAGTAGTCGAAAACGTCGGGCGGTTTCTAGTCGTTTCAGTCTGGTATGGGGGTTCCATGTGAGTCGTTTGTCAAGGTGGAGTCCTAAGTAGCGGATTTGCTCAACAGGAATAAGTGGAGTATTATTGAAGGATACTGTAGGACAAGAGGTCATAGGTTTACGACGGAGGGTAAAAGTGATTTGATGGGATTTGTTGGAATTTATTTTTATTCTCCAATTTTTACACCATTCTTCAAGGCTTGTGATATGTGATTGAAGAGTTTGGGATGCAATTAAAGGATCGTTATTAACTGATAGGATACACGTGTCATCGGCATAGGTGGTGATGACAGTGTTGGATTGGGTTGGGATGTCAGCTGTATAAACTGTGTAAAGGATAGGACCTAGGATACTACCTTGAGGAACACCGGCAGACTGAGTAAAAAGAGATGAATAAGCATTGTTATGATTGACTTTGAAGTATCTGTCAGTAAGGTAGGAACGTATAATGAGGAAGTATGTAGGTGGTAGGAATTCACGGAGTTTGTACATCAGTCCCGGATGCCAGACTCTATCAAACGCCTGTTCAACGTCGAGAAAGACTCCCGTGCAGTACATTCCGCGCTCCAATGCAGAGGAGACTACATCTACCACACGATGGCATTGCTGAATAGTGGAGTGGGATGTGCGGAATCCAAATTGGTGATCTGGGATAATGTGTTTAGAGTCTAGGATGGGATACAGGCGTTTTAAAATGAGTTTTTCCAGGATTTTGCCCATAATGGGTAAAAGGGAGATAGGACGGTAAGAGGATGGGTGTTCTGGCGGCTTTGTGGGTTTAGGTATCATTTTGACAATGGATAGTTTCCAAGAGTCAGGAAAATATGTGGTGCGGAGTACAGCATTAAATATATAGGTTAGGAACAATATGGCTTTTTTAGGAAGACATTTTAGGATCTGGGAGGTGATTAGGTCATGGCCAGGAGCTTTGCGAGAAGGTAATCTATTAATGATATTGGATATTTCTGAAGGATGAAATGCTTTAGGTGGAGGAGTCAATTGGAGTGGGGTATCCAATTCTGCTTCAATAAACTCAAGGTGGGTTGGATTAAGGATGTCTGGGTGTGGATTAAATGTTTTTGAGAGGTGTTGAGCAAATATTTGAGATTTTTCATCATCAGATCTGGACCAGGTTTGGGTTTCAGTAATAAGTGGGTGGTTAAAATCTTTGAATTTAAGGAGTTTTTTAGTGGTCAACCATAGTGATTTGTCACAAGTAGTAAGTTTTTCTGTCATGTTATGTAAATTTTGAACTTTGTATTTTCTAATTTCAGCTTTTAGTTGGTTAGTTAATTTGTTGTAATATGTCTTATCTGATGGATATCTAGTCCTGTGCCACTTCGATCTTGCTCTGCGTTTTTCCCTTAATAAGATACGAATATGCTGCGGCAAATTTGTCTGTTGGGAGTTGTCAGTTTTATTGGTAGATGTATTATTCTTTATTTTGTCACTTATAGATGTAGTAAGTTCTTTTATGGCTGTGTCAATATCACGTTTCGTCTTAAGTGGAATATTTAGGTCCAATTTATTTTCCAGGTCTTTACGAAAATTGTCCCAGTTTACTCGTCCTGTAATCAGTGTAGGAGAGGACGAGGGCTTAGGAGCGAAGGTTGTGTGTAATGAAAGCAGAACTGGAGAATGATCTGAGGAGAGGTCATCCAGGGATTTTATTGTGACATGGGAAGAGGAAATTTGGGAGGTGACAAATATGTCGAGGATATCAGGGCGTTTTTTGAGGGATGTTGGCCAATAGGTAGGATTCATAGGAGAGAGGACAGAATAACTATTGGAAGTTGAGACAGAAGATAGTATGTTACCACGGGAGTTGGATGATCGACAACCCCATCGTTGGTGTTTTGAAGCTACTAAATAATCGTATTTTCTTTTTTGTCACAAAACTAATTTTAATTTACATTTTATCTAAAACAAAATATTCCTATTATATCAACATTAATAAAAAAATAACTTCATTGGTTTTTATTTTGTTTTTTAACTGAAACGTCGAATTCTATTTCCAATATTTTTTTTTTCAATTTTGCATTGATGTTATAAAAGCCAAGATGGTATGCTGGAAGTGGCGGTTGAGGACCAAAACTTTCCTGAATTTGGTTACGAGATTTGTAGTTTGGACCCAACACCAAAGTTCACCTTTATTAAAATTGTTAAGGTTATGTCGACAACAGTTGGTCACGTGGTTAAAAGGCTATTCAAGGAACGTCACAATATGAGCTTCAATCTAGAGTCCATAAGTCAAATATCCTCTCCAAATTAGGAAGATTTTTGGAACAGAACAGCCATTTGTTCCAAGCTGACATCAATTTAATAATTAACACAAATATAATTCCCCTCCCGTACGTTGCAACGACATCATATCATCACATTAATGATATAGAAGCAACAAATCTTAACTGTAATAGGGTTGGCGAGAGAGATCCCAGATCTGAAACAAGGAGGGAGGCACAAATTAAAATCGATTAATCAAACATTATCTAGCCGGTAAAGTACTAATACGATAGTAGATAAGCAAGATCGATTACCCAGGTGCTAAGTTAGACTTGAAGTAATTAGCACTTGATAGGGAACTTGGGGACTACTTAGTACTGATATATATCTTGCAATTAATGTACATCAAGGAGCAACGGATCAATATACAACTCCAGAAGGTGCAGAGTGTATATTATTGTATATATACATCGATTTATAACAACGAATCAATTATATTAATTTGTATATTTTTAATATTAAATTAATATGTATCATAGAAAGAAAAGGCAATATTATATTTTATTATGTTAGAATGTCCTTTCCTAAAAGTAGCCGTATTTTTAGCAAAAATGACTACCATCAATTATTGCAAATATTTTATTTATTTTTTCTGATGACTTGGGAATAATAAATATAAATATATAAAATATTATTTCTAAAAAAAAAACATGCTATAATTAAGTATTTTTCAATTATTCGTTATCTAAAGTGATCTAAAATGATTTTTACTATTATCTCTATTACAGGCGAATAAAAGTGCCGAAATAAATGTTTATAGTCCTAAAACATAGATTTAAAATAAAGAAATCTGCTGGTTGCTTTAATGATGTTCATAAAAACATAAATATTAAGAATAAGAACATTTATGTTGTCAATTATAAAAACCAGGAATTCAACAAGAAAGTTTTCTAAAAGCGAGGTTCCTATGGTATAGTTGGAAGATGAAAAGAAATAAATAAATAGTCACGAATAATTTATATTTTTTTAAAGATAGGACATGGCTTAGTTTAGCCGCTGCAAATTCTTCTTTAAATGTTTTTAACAAAGAAAATCTCTATAGTCACTAGAATTGAATTTGGTCTAGATTACTGTGAAGCAATTGTTATTTACTTAAAGTAAATATTTCTTTACTTATCGCTCTCTATTCAACAAAAAACAAGTCTTAATTAAAAAAACACAAAATTTAAATGTTCTACTTTTATTCTGAAAATTGGTCGATTATATATACATTTTTGTAGCTCTTGAGTTCTGCTATCACATCTTCAAATATTCCCTCTACTCTTCGGACACTCTGTATATTTAAGCTAACAACCAACCCTACAGAAACATGGTTAACCACTCAATAGATAATTTTCCTACACCTTTCTTACTGTCACTGAAGTCTCAAGAATCATTTTGTCTCATATTTAATCTATTCAAAATAAAAATAAAATAATAATAGATTTATTCTTAAACATATCGTCACCACCACGTTAAAGTAACGAATGCCTTCATTTTTTCACATTCATTACTTAAAGCACTAGGTCCACAACACTCCATGGATAGTCGACATCATTTTTGGATGATCATTGATACTCAGGGTTATCCTGAAGGAGATTGCGTGGTGTGATTCATTCCATTAATATTTTTGAGGCGGGAATATTTTTACAGAATTATGAATTTGTGGAGTGAACCATATATTATCATGAGATTTAAATTTGAAGAAATTTTCAAACTACGGAAAAACATGAAATAGCAAGTGTAATAGTCTATGATCTATAAAAATATTCTAATTATATTTTCGCTTGAGCTGATTTTAAAAAGAGGAGAGCAATCGAGCAAACTGCTTGATGGATTACAAAATGGTGGGTTGGTTTATATTTTTTACTGCTTTCCTGGAGGGCTGTCAATCGAATGGTTTTTTTATTCATTTATTATCTTTTGCGAACTTCGCAGTTAAACTTCATAATAATGAGGTTAACAAAAGTGCTTATAAATAAGTAAATTAAAGCTGTACTTACCATGCCTCTTGTCTTCATTCTGGAAGGCCGGGGCTAGGTCGGTGAAGGCACTGGACACGCTAAGGGCAGCTTTGGCCTTTTCGACACTTTGCTTGAGCTGCTGGAAGGTGCTCGGGTTACAGAACCTGTACCAATCGCTGGAACCAATCTCTTCTGACTTGATGGAACATCTCTTCAGCTCTAGGCCCCCACCGTAGGGGCAGCTATCGTACATACCCACCTCCACCTGGACAATGTTAAATCTAATATTATATTTAGTAAAAGATAAAAATTATATAAAAATTAATGTTAACAAAACAGTCGTGGTCTGAGTTTTCTGGAATAACAGGAGATAGATGGATAATAAAATATAAAAACGTACATTCTATAAATCAATAATATTCACCTTTTTTATTTAAAACATAAAGATAATTTACACTTTTCATTCATTTAAATACGAATCTTGAAATTAAATTTCAGGGATCAATATTGGCTCCTTTACTCAACATTATATATACGTGTGACATACCTACCACCTCTGAAACATTGACTGCTACTTACGCTGACGATACAACAATTTTAACAAAAAATCACGACCCCAGACTAGCCTCAATGAATTTACAAAATCATTTATTGACTTTACAAAATTGGTACTCACTTTGGAAAATAAGATTAAATCATGACAAATCACAACATATAACATTTACACTTCTACGAGAAACGTGCCCACTAGTTTATATAGGAGAGAACCAAATTCCTCAAATACAGTACGCTACATGGGACTAATATTCGACAGAAGGATGACCTGGGGCCCACACGTCAAAATGAAACGACAGACCTCAAACAAGCGACTGAACATACTGTACTCACTTTTTTCCAAATCAAAATTGAAAATCAGATAAAAACTCAATACATACACTTACCTACTCAAATCCATATGGACATACGCATCACAAATTTACGGTTTTGCAAAAAAGACACATTTACAAAAACTACAGACATTTCAATCATAAAATTTTACGACTTATAACAGGAGCTGCTTCTTACGTAAACAAGAAAACTTTACATAACGACTTACGACAACCAACTATCGACCAACACATACGCGATCTTTACTCCAGATTCCATCTTAAACTACACGGACATGACAACGGACTTATTAACGACATGGCTACAGCTAACATGCCTATCAGGAGACGACTAAAGTGGAGCTGGATGAGAGATCTCCTTTCTTGAATTAAGGAAATAAATCAAGACCAGGAAGAAGTGCTGCTGGGTACTATTTTTTTCCTCATGTCTAAAATGTTAATTTTTCGTATTAGTTACAGTACATCTGCTTATTGCCAAGCTCATGACACTTGTGAATAAAAATATGAAGACAAAAAAAAAAAATTAGCATTTTTGAGTAAAAAATAAAATAAATTGTTTTTACTATTTAAAAATCTGAAATCTTTTCTTAATAAATAAAAAGCTTTCACTCTCGAGAATAAAGAAATTGAAAATTTTTGCATACTTCTTCCAGATGAACAAATGAAAAGAATGAAAACTTTATTTCCGGTATGGATTTTTATCAGTAGATATTTAGTTTTTAACAAACATTTGATGGTTCTGCAATATCGGACTACTAATTTAAAAATAATTTTACTATTTATATTTTTTTCTTTTATTTTAATTTTATGGACTGAATGTGACAATTTAAAACAATACTTTCTCTTACTGCATGTTTAAGTAAATTAAAGTAAAAATATATGTCTGTTTGAGAAATTTTATGAAATTTATTAGGACTATAGAACTAATTATTTATATCAGGAGTATCCAAACATTTGGACAGTGGGCCACATAGAGACCTCTAATAAGTCTCGCGGATCGCGTTGAAATCTCCGAAACTAATTCTCTTTTTTATAATTGAAACTTCAATTGTGAAATAAGCTTTCTAAGAGAAACAATTCATGCAATAAATTTTGTAGTAACACGAGTGAGCGATTTATTAAATTTTATACTTTCTAAACGGTTTATAAAATTTTATCAAAAATATTTTCGCATAGTTTAGAGATCCTGATTTTGAATGAAGGTTTTGAAGTCTTTATTTGAAATGTCTTTGTATGAACATGTATGCTTGTAATATTATCATCTTCATCACCTTTTTTTTTGTCAATATAGTAGAATGCTTTCATTGTCATTAGCATAAGTATTTATTCTATTTCTAGTGTCTGAATCCTTGAGAATTTTAATAAAACATTTATTACTTTGAGGACGAACTTAATTGCATACCTACAATATTTAAATGGATAAAATGAAAAACATTAAAACATTTTTTATCAATAGAGGTAACAGTAGCCAAGTCAATATGCACATTGTAAAGTTTTTAATATATCTTAGAAACAACATTTTTGCTGTAAGCAATAAGAACTAGGTATTATTTTACCTTCTCTTGATTATATATTTACAGTAAGAAGTAATGAAAATTGAACATATTCAAGTGATCTAGGTATGAAGATTTGTGAATGATTAAATTGTGTATAAAAAGATTCAATGATAAATATATTTATTATTAATATAAATTTGAGAATTGAGAATTTTAATACAATATACCTATTACATTTATGTAGAAGATTCGATGAAAAGAATAAATGAAATAAATACTTACAGAGAATATGCAAAATTTGACATATTTTAACCAACAAATTAAAGTTATCAAATCCAGTAGATATTTCTGAGCTGCTCACTTTCAGAATTAGTTAATAATGTCTGAAAAAAAGTAGGATCCCATACTTTACGATAAGATATGAAAAATCGATAGTATAAATGTCGTTCGTGATCTAATGGTAGACAAACGCTCTAAACTTCCAATTAATTACAAAAGACTCATATACATGACTTGATTATTACAGGTATATGATACGCTGTCATAAGTTTTTCATGAAAAAACTAATTGACTGAATATAAAAAACGAAATTGGTAAACGACTTAATTTACTGTCAATTAAATCTATTTGCAAAGGTTCACCGTCAGAACTTAAGTTGTGATTGACACGAATGTTGAAAAAATCTCTTGAAGTATCAATTACCCGTAAATGTTACATTTACCTTATTGCCTAAATTTGTTGTTTATTTTTTTATTATCGATGTGAGGTGTGATTTCGGTTTGTATATATTTTCTTTTCTGTCTTGAACATGCCTGTATTGGTAGGACTTTGACGAGTGTTTAGCATATTCGAATTATATTTTGATTAAATTTTTAATTTGACGTTTTTGACTAGTGCAGCACTTAAGTACTAGACAAACGCTCTAAACTTCCAATGAATTACAAAAGACTCATATACATGACTATAAGAAGGCCTATTTGGACTTACGGAGTTAAGCTATGGGGCTCCACTAAACCATCGAATTCCTCTCGTATTCAATCATTACAATCCAAAATCCTTTGTAAAATCCTTAATGTTCCCTACTACTAGCCCAATACCTATCCTTTTATAATAAACTTCAGAATCATCTCAAACTTCTCGTTTCTGATTTTGCTTCCTCTTCAATTCCTGATAACCCTCCGGGGCGTCTGAAAAGAAGATGACTCCGTGATCTCCTAATCTACAAATATTATTAGAGTGCTACCATTGGTTAGTTTCTCAACAAGTGTTTTCACGTCATTATATCCATATGTTCAAATTTACTAAATCTATTTCTTTAATACAGTTGTAAATATAATTAAGAAATAAAAAAAAAAATAAAAAATATAGATAATTAGTTTGTTTCGTTTTCTTCAAAAGTAATTATTCTTATATACAAAGCTTCCGGGATGAAGTCCCCACCATCAAAAATTAAAATTCTGGATCCGCTAGTGCTTAATCATATAATAAATTTAGATTAATGAACTGTAAGTATGTGAAAGATAAAATTTGTCAATAATTTTATATACGAACCATCTGATCAATAAATACTCATAAAGACCAAAAGTATTAATTTCAACTCGTTTTGTATTTAATCTGTATAAATAATAAAGTCAAAAAGATTATGGTTTCATAAATTTCGTTATTTTTAAAATTAAATTATTTTAATTAGTCAAATATATTTAGAAATAAAAATAGAAAATTATGTAGTCAGTTTTGTCTGTCCTCTGATCCAGACAGAGATCGATTGACAGTAGGAGCGCGTACCAGGAGTTGATATACACCGAGGTGTCATTTATTGAGGAGTAGGTAGGGCGCTGGTTAGGCCAGCCCGCACCACTCACACACACAATAGCTCCTCCCGAGCTTTTGCCATCCTGATACACTCACATATGAGCCTACAATCTCAGTCTCCCTGTTGCACCTACACATACTACACATCTTACACACCACGGACCCCAGTTTAGAGACCCCTGCTTTAGAAGAATGATTTTGTAAACGACTTACATGCATAAATAACATACAATATGAATTTATTATATATTTATACAAACAAATGTTTCATTCGCTGTTTGTAATAATAATCAAACAAATTATACATTTTTACTTTCACTTACTTACATATGAAATATATAGTAAGGGAAAGTATTGCGATCGTAAAAATTTTCGAATCCGAGTTTTAACGCAAATACACATTTTAAGCTCCCCTGAGTCGAAATAACGAAGTCTCGTATGTTGTTTATATGCTTGGGATGTTACAGAAAATTTTTCGTCAAAATCGGATAAGTGGCACTTAATATCATGGGCTAAACACATTTTTACGATTTTCTCGAAAAAGATTATAACAACTTTGATTAAATTCATTATACCAGACTAAAATTTAGCAGTTTTAAAATAAAATGTAGGTTTCATTCTGACTGATGTTCTCTAACAGAGCTTAAACACCTGATTTTCAATATTAGCTTCCCCTAAATTACCCTTAATTTTTTTTATTTGGAACAATTGACCATTTCACATTAATGTCTAATAATATAAGAGATATTAAAATATAAAATATGAAAGAATTTTATAATTAACTAAATGAGAAATAAGAGATCGTAACAGTAATAGTTGTTAATGATGAACAAAAGGAATTCGAGCGCTCCCGAGCTCGCCCGAAAGATTAGAACACGGTTCTATTCGTAACATAAGCTTAATATGATAGGGACTGCGACGATACTATATAAAAATACATATGCGGTTTTCATAAATGCTATTGTTGCTATCATTTAATATTTAATTGTATAGTTTACAACGATATAAATATTAAAATTTGTATATATAAGGATACCTATAATAAAAATACCAACAAT